AGCCATAAGTAGGGCACCAGGTCAACTACCGGCCTATCGATCCAATAAGGGTGCGTAATACAATAGTATGGGAAAAGGGCGATGATATACTATATTTTAGTGTAACACCATAGAAATTATTTTCCATGTGTTATATTTTTTAGTTCTAACTTTTTTAAAATAAAAAAATATTTAAAAAATTATAAATGATTTGTGTATTACCATACAAAATAAGTTTATTGTAGATTATAGAATATCTATTAAGTAATATATTCAAATCGAAAATGCGTACGCATTCAAAATCATTCTCTAAGTTATGTTTTAATTACAAAGATATTTTGGAAAATTCAGAAAAAATGTAATAACCAGTAGGTGTAATATAAATAATACTATTGATTCAAGATATCCAGTACCTGATTTTCAGATTAAGGCTAGTTTCAATGATAAGACGCGCGTTAATTGCGAACTTAGCTATTAGAAAAATCGTAATTTTTTAAAATTAAAAAAAAACTCGAAAATTTACACTCACCTGTAAAATAAATACCAATGAATGGAAAATTAAATTATATTATTTTTTTATTTTCATAACGTTATATAACAATCTCTAAAAAGATCAACAAAATATGATTTAAAAAAAATTGATACAACCTTCCATTAATTTTGAGCACGATTCTAACATAAACAGTAGGTAGCAGCTAGTATACACTTTAAATTCATATACATAACAGATATGAATTAAATAAAACCTAACCTTGCATTATTTATCTTTATCTTAGTAGAATAAATATATTTTGATATAAATCATATAACATACCTTTAAATAATTTATATTGAAGGATATCTAAATTGTAAAATATGAATTATTTATAATTTATAACTAATATAATTAAAGTGACATGATCAATAGTATTAATCATAATAATTAAATGCTTTTTTTTATTTCTCTTGTTTTCTTCTTCTCATTTATATATAGTTAATATACCTATAGTTGTAATTGTTAAGCTATAATAATTTTAATATTAGCAGCTAATAAAAAAAAAAAATAATAAATGCTGGATTATCATTGTAATTTAAACACCTAAAATGCTAATTGATGAAATTCAAAATTTTAATTGGTTGTTAGATAAATGCATAAAGCAATTATAATAATAATTTAAATTTAAAAAAATGTATAAATCTTTTTTTATAAAAAACGATTCTGAACAAAAAACAAAATATTAAGAAGGAAAGCACATAATTATAATTTAAAACATACTCTTTTGAAAATGTCTACATTTTCAGATATTTTTTAGCTTATCAAAATTACCTTGGTAAAAATAAAATAATATCTTATTAATCAAAACAGTGTGATAATAAAACTTGGTGCATTTTGACTCAAAAAATTATTTAAAAAAAAATAACTGTGGCAACTGACTCTTTTTTTTATAATAGTTTAAATATTTATAATTATATATTTAATAAAATTGTAAAATATAATTATAATAATTATAATATTTACCCAAATATATACATATCCATTGGAGAGGGACAAGGGGGACATTTCTCCCTGGCTTTTCCATGTCTATTATATATTTATACATAAAATATTACAATTATTAATTTATATTAAATATATATCAAATGTATATTATTAGCTAATCTTATTTTATATGGATAAAACTTTAATATAGGAGGACAAATTCTAGAAATCATAGATATTAAATATAACCTATTGATAATAATCACCAAGAGGCACTGAGCACACACTGGGCCCCCCCTGTGATTTTTGTTGATGTATGCTCTTGTCTAAACACCAAATATTTTAGATAATGGTATACTATGAAGCAATTAATCTTAGAATATTTCGTTTTTTAATAATTTTTTAAGAAATAAAAAAAATTCATTAAGCTGTACTTATACAAATTAGTTTACATCAAATTTATTACATATTGTTATACAAATGATTTTTAAATTTTCCTACAAATGTCTAGAATATATTAAAACAAAAAGTACAACGAATAATCATTTATTGACGAGCACAATTCTTAGCTTAAAGTTCTCTATGAACAGTTATCTGAATTAAGGGTACAACTATCAAAAGTATGTACTTTCTGTTGTATTAATTCAAATCCCACAATAATTATTCCATTAGAAAAACTATTTTTAACACAACTATAAAAATTATTGAAAATTCAATTTATATGAAACAGAAATATTATATAGAAACTTTAAACTTTAATACTAATTTATTAAAAAAGGCTTTACACATAATAATGAAAATAATAACATTTTCAGTCAATTTAAAAAAACCCATAAAATACACATAACATAAAACAAAGTAATATATTATTTATACATAAATAAATAAATAATATATAAACTATTTTATTGTAGAATATAAGTAGAATATAAGATATAATACAAAAAAAAAAAAAAAAAAAATTACTTATTTTTATCAAACTAGAAAATGTTGGGTGGCACAAGTCAAACCTAACCTTACCTAACATAACTAAAGCTTCTATTTACTTGTACCTATAAATTATTGTAATTTTGAAAACATCTCATAATACACTAATAATTAACAAATTATTGGTTTATTATATTTGGTCATTAACATTCAGATTTAAGTTAATTATATCATTATTAGGGAACGGATTTATATGTAAATGCATATTTTTATTAAAACGAGATATTTAAGATTCGATAAGAAATGTTTATAATTTAAATTCATTCCTATTAAAATTATGATACTTTTATTTTACATATTTTTACATATTTTTATCATTTTATCATTCATACGTCTTCTTCGTACAAAAAATACAAGAAATTATTTCAAAATTAGATCCAGAAACTTTTATCGCTATTGGAAAAGCTCAAAGTATTATGTAAAATGAAACATTGGAAATAATTTAATTTTAATTAAAAATAATTTAACAAAATAATTAATAAAAAATATGTCCCCAAATGATAGTATGCAAATTGTTGAATCAGCGATTAAAATTCGTAAGCGGACCAATAGATGTCGTAAAAAAGAAAATTCATGCTGTTACAGAAAAAAATTTCAGGCAATATTGATTTTAAAACAATCAATGACCTAATGAATGGCAGACAATCTTTTAAAAATTTGGAATTATCGCCTTCTGATAGTATGTACTTGAAATATGCTTTTAATACATCGGTTGATGTGAAACGATAATTTAGCCGTTTTAAAAATATTTTGATACCTAAAAGGCAACATTTAACATTTGATAATTTACAAGATATTGTAATAATTCAATGCAACAAATCTTTTTGATAATTTAATAATAATAATCATTTTTTTTTAAATTTTTTTTTCCCCACATATTTAGATATTTTTAGCACATATTTTATAAATTATACTTACATATATATGTACATATTTCTGTATTTTTATTACATATAAATCCGTTCCCTAATCATTATTAAAAATATTTTATACTTATTCCCGGTCAAATTGAGTTGGAAGAAACAGTAACAAATCTCATAGAAGGGTGCTTCATGTAAAACAATTATTTTTGTCAATAGAGGAAATAAATTCAAGCAATACTATGAATAATCATATTTATTTATACATTATATATTTCTTAAGACTAGACTTCAATTGGTATTATAAAAATAAATTATATTATATATAATCAAAAAGATACTAGTGTTGTCTATAAGGTATTGTAAGTAAATCCATAAATTATAACTTTTATAAATCAATTAAATACTCATATATTTTTTTTTTTTATAAAATCAGTCATAAAGCTTAATTTTTGATGATTATAATGTGTTAATATTTAATCATAATTAATCTTTATATGTTTATTTTCAGTAAATTACTTAAACTAAATTTTTTTTAAATTTTTAATTTTGTAAATAAATTTATTTTAAATATCTAATTTTCACACTACATTTTGAAATTTAAAAATTTAAACCATAGTCGCCTGCAGACATTAGTTCAAAAAGGTGGAGATAAAATCTTAACTCTAAAATCTAATGCATCTTAAACAGGTTTCATTACATGGTATAATTTTTTTAGATTTTTGAAACCCTGGGGAGGTAATCACCTAGTTTATACCCTTACCTTTAAATGCTTATGATTATAACTTCAATTGGGATAAGATAAAAGTAAATATATTTAACAAAGTTTACAAAAATATCTAACATTTACCATTAATAAAATAAATGGTACTTGAAAATTACTCTAAATAAACACAAGTTATATATTAAACCTTAATAATTATCTGAACCCATCTATATTTATTTGTAATATTAAGATTCTTTTCCTTTATGCTTCCAAGTAACGGTTGAATATATTCAAAAGAACTAAAAAACCTTTCCTGAACATCCTATATTTTACTGTTACAAATGTACTACCAAAAATGCATAACATTCCTATTATTAATATATTACATTAAAGCATTAAAAAGTAATTGCTGCAAGTTATTGACTAAATTGGTTGTTTTTCACTTTTTGGTAAATGGGGTGTATTCATATTTTCAAGGTATATCAATACTCAAGCTTAAATATATTAAATAACTTATTAGATTGAAAATGAACTATTTTAAGCAAAAAAATAAAGTATAATAATAACAAATAGGGTTATATAGATACATGTATCTATTTAAATTTTATTAGTTCATTACTGATGAACATTATTCCTAATAACAAATGTGTTTGATCAAAAAATATAACTTTTTAATGGTCAGGTCAGGACATTAAAAGTACATATATATATATACAATATTTAACATTTAAGAGTGAAAATATACTAAGAGGATAATTAAGATATTAGAAGTATTGACAGAAAAAAATGATTTATAAAAGATGAGAGAAGTAAATTCAGAAAAATTATAGCAAAATTAAGGTACCTATAAAGTTAAAAATTAAATAAAAATCTCAATGCATTACATATTGAAAGTAATAATAAATGAATAATAATGAACGATTTACAGAAGGCCTAAAGAAATTTTTTTTTATATAAATTTATTTTGCCAAACCTACAAGCCAATAAGTATATGTTGATTTAATCTTACCTTTGGAAATGTAGCATCTATCTGTCTTTGCAATGCATTTCTTTCACTTTCAACTTCGGCCAGTTGTTTTTCAGTCTCATCAAGCCTGATTTGACTTTTACTTAATGTGTCTAAAAGTTTGTTACGTTCTTCAACAACAGTGTCCATAAACTCATTGATACGAACGTCTTCACCAGAAAACTGATGCCGTTGACCAATATTGTCTTCGGTGATGGTCGGCATGACATCACACATCATGTTCCACATTTCGTCAATAATTGATTTGTAATAGAGTTATAACAATGAAACTATACCATTTTATTCATTTTTCTGAAACGAAAAAGCATAAGACCAACGTTAATCTTTTGGAGAAATCGATCGTTATAATTTGATAATTAAGAATTTTACAACTACCTAAATACCTAGTCCTTTAAATAGGAATCAACATTAATATTTAGGGCGTAACACAAATACATTTCAGCGGTAACCGTCATGTAGATTTTCACATTTAGTTTCTGTATTAGAACCAACGAGCAACGATAGAATACAATTGATTTTTGGTCAGGGCGACATAAGAAACTTGATAAACGTTATTATGTCGATGTTATGCATTATCAATTGAATTAGCTTTATCACGTTTGACTCGGGCAAGCATGGTGGGTATTATACACTGATGTACAATGTTACAGTAGAAAACTATCATACATGATTTTTTTTTTTTTATTTATTGTTTCATTAGTCAGAATGGGTGTTGTATGATACGGGACCAAAATACTGATGATGAAAAGGAAAATAAAATCACGATGAACTCCCCACCAAAAAGAACTCGGCATCAAGACGTGAGCAATTTACACGGCGGATACCCGGGGCGACCCCCTCCCACGTCTAGGCAGATAGCGTGAACTGACGGTCACCGTAAAGATTATAATACGCCTTATCATCGGTGTGACAATGGAACGGGACACTGAGTTCGACCGTTCTGTCCTTATCTAGAAATGTATTATTACTTACGTGAAAACGGAAATTCGTTCGGTGCTTTAGGTGTAAGACACTAAGAATTTACGCGGTTGAACACCGGCATGACGGTGTCAGTTCAATGAGTACCGCGACGACAATTATTTAAAAACGTCTGCGACACACCGAGACACGCCTCAAGGCATAGCGCGACTTGGCGTAGGCACTGTCGTCTAGTGACATGAGACGGAGAGGGACGGAAAAAAAACACTTGTATATTTATCTATATATGAGACATGGTGAAAGTTTTGGCCACTGCGGCCATGTTTGCCATTCTATTGGGGGTGCGTTTTGGAGTTCATGGAAGAAACGCCGATCGGGCGCGGCTGTTTCCATGACACCTCGAATTGCATCGAATGCATGAAGCAGCGCGCGCGTATCAGCCTGACAGTAACGATGGTTTTGCCTCTGTGTCCGACTGTCTGATGAATGGTTGTGATAATATCACATGGTTAATGTAGATCACCGATTGTTCTTGCATAATTCGCATGCCCTTGAATCTTAATTGGTTTGCAGTAATTTTAATCTTGTTTAAACCGTTTAAGGTTCCATGACCAACTGTAGGAATTAGGAACTCCATCAAAGTTTCAGTTCGATTTGTCATTAGCTCACAGTACTCTGGATCAGCGGTTCTTAACCTACGGTCCGCGGCCTTCTAGGAGTCCACAATCCTCAGTCGAGGGTCCGCTGCAGCATATTATATGTCAATATGTGATATGAGTGCATTATTACAATATTGTTGGATTATTATTATTTTCTTTTTCGTATATTTTTTATTATATAATAGATTGATCTTATCTTAATACGATATTCAAAAATTTGTGTCTGAAGTATAACACCAACCATCGCATTAATTTAATAAAAATTAAATTTTAAGAATATTAAAAAAAAAAAAAATGAAAACTAAAATAATTTAATTTAAGTTAACTGAAAAATTAAGTGTAACAAAAAT